TTCTTATGCATCATTTGCAAATTTTTTTACTTCAATTAAATTTGTTTTGTGAAAATAAAGGCGATGCCAAAAATTGCAAATGCCTGAAACAACACAAGACTATATTCAGCAGGCATCTTTTGGAACATGTGTACCTACACAGAAAACAGCCACTTACGTATGCATGTACATACACAGCATATTTCGCACTCAAATTGCAAACAAGCACAATAACAACGAAAACAACGATCACAGCAAAATCACATTAGCAAGTTACTTGAGCCATTGCAGTTTGTGCATTGAAAATAATATCCGCACTAAAATAAAAAATCAACAAAGGTGAAAGAAAATGTTAAACAGAATGAATGCATAAATAAATATGGTAAAAAGAGAGGTTGTGCAAAAAAAAAATAAGAAGAAGAAAAACGCACACGAAAGCATAAGCAAGTTACAAAGTAAACCGGTGTTAGATGCAGGAAAGACAAAAATCAACAACAAATGCAGCAAGAATAAGCAAGGCACATGGCCAAGATTGAATTAGACTGAAACGAGGCGAATGAACGGCAAAGAAAAACTGCCGAGCTTATGCGATACAACACTGCAGATGCGGCGAAGGAGGAACTGCATAGCTGTTACGAGTTGCAGGGGCGTAAAAAATTATGTGGTAAGCGGTGAAGGGGGAAGGGAGGGAGTAGGTGTTGTTGGCATGTGCTGTGCTGTGCGGTGCGGTTAGCTTGTCAGCCTCGTTGAGTAAATAGACAACAAAGTGTCGACTTTTGGTAAGCTGAGACGCAGCTAAAGCAGTGGACTAAGGATAGGGTGGCGTAGAGTAGCGGTAGACCATAGATGAGCCGTCGCTTTTTGAGCAAAGCCACCACCAGTCGCCAGCAGTTAAGTCCAAAATCGGTGGCTGCGGTATTGAATTGCAAATCTTACCAAGAATCTCTAAGCTTTGTGTGTACGAGTACATACAAACCTACAAATATGGCAGAGAATTTCTTAACATTTCTATGTTTTTGCAATAATGCATCGTATTACAAACTTCCATAACTTCGGTACTAAAAATTGTAAAACAATGCAAAAAATTTTTAGCCAAATTTTCAAAAAAAAAATCTAAATTTTTTCCTTTTTTACTATAAAATACTCGTATCACCCAAAAAGCGTTAAAAAAGCGTCGCTTACAAGATATACGACGTCTTTGAAGAAGAATTTACCTTCAAGTCATACATTTTTATTTGAATTTTTATTGCGCTCGGCATTGCTTGTAGTTGTTAGAGATTCTGTGTGCTGCAAACAACTGCTTTGCATAATGTTATATTTTTTATTTTTTTGCCTTTTCCTACAACTTGAATTTTTATAATGCTTTTAAAAGGCCTTTTTTGTCTTATGAATTCTCTTTCGATGGCAGCATTGACTTAATTTAAAAAATATTCAGTGTTCAAATAAAATTTTGTGTATATGTATGTATGTATGTATGTTTTTTGACGCAGACAGCCGCTGCCCCATTCGCTGCCACCATCAGCTGACAAATACTTTAAGGACCGCGGCGTCTGACTTCATTCCCAACAGAAAACCTGGCCGACGGAGTCGTCCTACATATTTTAATTCGCTGAACTACGTAAATATCGCCGTAAGCTTGTAAATCTCACCGTAAGCTCGTATCACCCACCTTAAGATGTGGGTTTGCGTAAAGGTCCAAATGTCTTTCGGAACACTCCAAAAGCCGTCCTAGCCGTAGTAGGTTTGGCAGGAATACAAAATTGCAACATGGCGGCATACAGCAACTCCTTTAGTAGGCTTTTAAATCGACAAAAAAGAATGGACTTCCGGTCTTTTTAAGCCTGTTCCGGTCGAAAGCGGATGTCAGTAATACGACCATTTCTAAAAGCTCTCTATTTATGTATAGTGCTCTGAGTAGCTTTATGGGAAGTATTTGGCCCAATTGGTATTTCTCCTCCAAAACTTTATTGGCTTCATGTTTTGACATTTAGATGTTTTTGAAAATAATTAACCGAATCACTACCCTTTTTACGAAAAATCCTAATCTTATCCACATACACATCTAAGCCGACGGTAGATGTCGCCACTGATACTTTTTTTCTAAATTTTCACAGCCTTCACAGCAGACAAAAAATCATCTACATACAGTGCTTGTATTTCTTTCGGTTGCTTTACTCTGCATTTCTCATCACGCTTATGCATATAGCAAGATAGCTAAAGGGCTCTTAAAATACCTTTTTATTTTTTGAGGTTTCCCATAATGGTTTTGAAAGGGCTTTCTCCTTAAAAGCGTCTGCAAAAGGGCCTTGCCTAAGTAATACGATAAATACAATTAAACAATGGTAGCCATTGCAGTAAAAACTGCCATATATCTAAGTCGAGTTTTTCGGACTTTTATGAGAAAATACCGTTGTACTAGTTGTTTAACTAGTATGTAGAATTTGTTATCTTTTTAAGAAATAACTATATGTATTGGGTATACAAGTAATTTTTAAAAGAATTTTGTCTATTTCATAGAAAGTATTGCCCATCGCTGGCTATGACCTTTTCCCAACTTTTCTGTCAATCTATCAATCCCATTTTTGATACTATCTTCAACTGAAGTGAAGCGTGTTCCCGCAAGGACGTTCTGCATCGACCGAAACAAGTGGTGGTATGCGAGTGCAAGGTCTTGGCTATAAGGCGTGCGGGCTAGACTTCCCATCCGGTATCATCGAGATAAGTTTTGAGCGCTTGTGCAACATGTGACCAAGCATTGCGATGTCTAATGTCTGTTGGCTCATTCCGGCCCTTTTTCACAATGGTTCGCTTCAATATCATCAGTTGTTGTCTGCAGTGAGCCATGATGATCGTCTGCCAACTTTTCAGAAGCTCATGATAAAGTATGTCCACCTGGTCTATTTGCCACAGGTTCGCCGTGCTTGGCAAATGCCTCCTTATATTTTGCTTTGCCGTAATTAATCAATTTTTCATCGCCTGTGAAATTACAATGCAAAAAGGACTTCACTTTGTACGGTTCCAGAAGCATTCTTCTTGGGCATGACAGGGGCCTTCGTCCAAAATTAAACCGTCGCACGCAAAAAAAATGACTTTTACACTTTGATTAAATTACACATATTGTAAAAACTATTTTCTATTTCTAGAATGTGCATCATATTTATTTATCTATTTTGATCAAGAACTGTTTGGAAAAAAAAATATTTATATCAAAATTAGAAAAGTACATCAAAACAAGAATTTGTTTGAATGTTTTAGAAGAAGCAGCTTTTAAAAATTTATTTGGGAAACAAATTTTTACGAAAAAATTTTTAGGGAAAAATATTTTTATTTAAAAATTTCAAAAAAAAAATACCCTTTAGTATACAAAATTTAGGGTAATAAGTAGTGTTTCAGGAAAAAAATATTTTTGCGTAAAAATTAATTTAAGATTTTTGACAAAAGGAACATAATTTTTAAGAATTCTACCAGAATAAAAACATTTACACTTATGTATAAAAAAGGGATTTATTTGAAGAGTAATAAGATTCAGGAAAATATTTTTTGGAAACGGGGAAAAAATGTCCAAAAAAAAATTTTCTAGGAAAAATTATAAGATTAATGAAATTTTTTTTTAAATAAAATGTTAGAAAAAAGTTTTTGTTTGAAATTTATGAAAATTTTAAGTAGCAAATTAATTTCTGCATTGGTTTCTTATGATAATTTGTTTACTGAGACATGGAATTATCACATTTTAAAATTGAAATCATGATTTTCTAATTATAAGTTTATGATCCTAAGAGAGTTAAATGAAGACGCTTGTTTTCAACTAAAAGTTGCCTGTAAAATCGCCTTATGTAAACACCATATTAAACATATAGCTGGCTGCAAAATTGTCCGGTACGCTTAAACACTACCGTTGCCCTCTGCTGACAATCCTTTAAAACTTACTTGTATACGCAACATAATTTTACAGCCAAGCAATATGTGATGATACTTCTCTCTCTCATTCAAATACTTCGCTGTTTGTTTTTGGCAAGCGGTTTCTTTTTACCTGCCTCGATTAATTAGAACATCCTTTTTTTCTTCTGTTTACTTTTCTTATACTTTCACTATAAAATTTCCTCCGTTATTTCTGTGGCATATATTTTTTGGGATCTACTGCTATCCTTTGATATTTTGCTGTAACAAAAATTGTTTTTTTTTTTTGTTTGCTTGCTTGCAGTTTTTATACAAATATTTCTTATATTTTTACCCCTCTTCTATTATAAATTTGTTTTCTTTTTTCTTTTGTTTATTGTGTACCTCTGTAAATGTTTTCTTTTGCTGCGAAAATACCTTCACACTTTCCAGTTTATTTTAGCTGCTTGCCTCCATTTTTACACGCTTCTTACCTTATGCTGTTTAACGGTAACGCATCGTTAATTTAACTAAGACAGTCAACCGACGGGTGAGGAGCGCCTCCTACGTGACGCCCACAAACACGCCCCACCATTACGTTTTCGTACCGGCTGTCAAGCATTTTCAAGTTTTCTATTGTGTTGGTGCTTCTTTTTTTCTGGTGTCTTGTCTTTGAAATATTACAAGCGCAAACCGGCTGCTACCCCACTGCTGGCCTATGACCTGCTTGAAGATTCAAATAATTGTCGCGGTTATATAAGTGGGTTGCCGCCTCTGTGCTGCTACTTCAGCTGCTGTTGGTAGACGTATTTTTGTGTCACTAAAACAACCCCAAAAAATCATACTTGAAAAAATAAGTGCAACTTTCAGCGCCGCCCAAAGGTAAAAAGATGTCTTCACACAATTTGCGTTTGTCTCCTTGGTGCTCTTTTTCGCTAAAAAGTTTCTTGCGAAATTTCGGGGCGAAAAAGTTTACGCTTTTGTCTCTCTCGTAATAATTACATCTATTTTCAGGATTTTTGTTATTATTATGATCATAAAAAAGTGGCTTAAAACCCTTTCTCTCTTTCCTTCACCACTTTTACTATGTTTCTAGCAAACTTTTAAAATTAATTAAAATTTTTCTCTTTACTTTTTCATTGCAGCTCATCCATTTGAATGTCGATTTGTGTAGTCTGTTAAATACGCGTTGAACGTTTAGGAATTTCGTAAGTACCATAATATTTTATATTTAGCATATCTTATTTCATTGCACGACTATTTCTGGCAAAGAAAAAGTGCTTAGCGAATTATTGTAATTAGTTATTACATTTGGAGGTCATCATATATTTTTTTAACTTCTTGCCATATACGAATGTATAAAAAATACCTTTGCCATTTTTATGTTCTACGTTTCTAATGAAGTGGCGCCATTTTTATTTCATATTTGCCTAATGTCAATTTTGCATTCGCATTTCAATTTAATGGCGCAGAAAAATGTCCAATCAGTTGCACTTATCCGTCACACATAGCAACAACAACAGCATTAGGTGGAAATTCGTTATGTGTGGGAAAATAAAAAATTAATTGCCATAAACTTTTGATAGCTGCGACTGGTTTGGACAAGCAACGAATGTCAAAATGCATATCTGCTTTTCAATTAGTTATTGTGTATTTTATAACAATAATTTTCTTTATGTGTTTTGATGCGTGGAAATTTTTTACTCACTTTTTATTCAATGTAAACGCTTACTTTAATTAAAATGTTCAAAAGGTAATAACAAAATAAACATTTACGAGGGTGAATTGAAGAGAAGTCTGTATTGGTAAAAATTCTATGCATTGGTAAAAACTTCAAATTTCTCTTGCAAATTTTATTTTAAAACCCAAAACATACTCAATCTCTAAGCGTTGTTTATACATACCCAAAAAATCCAAAAAATATGACATTTTGAAAAGTGTTTTCTCTTTAAAAAGTAGTCAAGAAAATTTAATTACATTTTGTATTATTTTCTCTGCATATTTTATTGCCGAATATAAGCCACAAAGGCTTAACTCAATGTAGAAGGATTTTTAAAAAATACTTGGACTTTACGGTTGGCATGTCTCATCAGCACCTGTACAGTTATTTGACTGACTTTCTCTAAGGATTCATTCCACTTATTAAAGAATGTGTTTTTTTTTTTAATTTTTCGCAAACCTTTTGCCAACCATTGGCGATTTTTGGCGATTTTTTTCTACAGAAATTGCGCTTTTTTTAACAATCTGGGCATCCGGTTTGTAGCGAATTGAAACTTGCACTAAAATTGAATGGGTTACAAAACTGCATACTCAAATATTTTCGTAGAAATCGATTTGAAAATTGCTTGCACTTTCGCCAAGTGTGTGAATTTAAAAAAATTTACTCTTGTGATTTTTGCTGTTGATTAATAAGTGAAAACTATATTTAAAAAAAAATTAGAAAAAATTTGGTATGGAAAATATACAAAAAAAAATAACGCCAAAATATCAGGGTATGCATATTTTTGACGCTGACTGCATATAGTAGCGCTAAGGTGAAAACTTTCGAGACGCTTTTGAGTTTCTCTTAAAATGAGTTACCACTAATTGGGAAAGCGCTTCGTCCACAGGCCAACTTCTTCTGTTTCTGAAATTAAATATATAGAGTTAGTACCTAAAATGTATGTAGAATAATCATAAAAATTTACGGGCTTCAAGAAAAAATCGGCTTCCAATCTTCTGAACGCTAAACTCAAATACTCAATCCAAGCACAAGAAAAATCGAATTCAGTCACTCCGACCACAGCTATCTAGACTTGATGTTTGTCTATAATCTTCAACGATTCTCCTTTCGGAAATTGGAGATTACTTTCCAAAATTCCTACCTTTTTTTTAGATAAAAGAATATAAGCAAAAGTCGGTAGAACAATCAAAAGCTATTAGCTTTAAGCTAAGTAATAATTGTAGAACATAGCCAGAAATGATCAGACGTCATCTAGTTCATAGCTGTACTCCAATGGAAATCAAGGGGCCTACTCTGTATTGCGATTGGAAACTCAATGCAATTGGAAAAGCGACAAGGACTTATACAAATTCATAGTGCTAAGTTTTCGAATCAGAATTTTTTGCTTTTCGAATTGCAATACAGAGTAGACCCCCAGGCTCTACAGAATATATCTGCTAGAGCGGAACTACAGACTTAAAGCCAATCCTTATTCAGTTGCATTGCCTCCATAGAGAAAAAGGGTTCAGGGATCTATGGTACCAAAAAGGGCCATCGGCCTAGCGGAGCTTATGCTCTCAGAACTGTCACTACAATCTTAAACCTTTGCAGTATGAATCGAATCGAAGTATATTCATATGCCTGAAACCCCATTACCTACTTTATCCTAAAGGAGTACGCCGCGAATAAGCAGTACTAAAAAATATTCCAGTTTTTCACTCCTTTATTGTTGCATCCGCCTAACTAAATTTACGACTCGTGCGCTATTCGTTGTTATATTCCATTCGCTTAGCTGGCATAAAATGTAATTCTCAAACTGCTTATAAAATAACCCGCTGAAAAGCTTTTGTTTACATTATATTAATTGCAAAACACTTGCCATGGATATAGATAGATGTCAGAAATTCACTCGATCTATTAATACATAGATGACACTCTCCAGAACATTTTGTCTAATCAAAAATTCTCTAGATAGCTTAGAAGCATTGAGTCTAAAATCGTTCCTATCAACCACCGCCATAGAGACCCCCAACCTAATGCTAACACCATTTCATTCAAATACTATTCAATTTCTTTCAACTCACCCTCGTATCAAAATAAGTTTACTTCGTGTTAGATAACTTATTTTAGTTAGTAAATTATTTATATAGTAAATAATATTTGGTCAACTTTTTTTTAAATGCATTAGTTTTACAAAGTTTTCGTTTTTCACATGGTTTGGTTTTAAATTAACTCGTCCATGTAATTTAAATTAGAAAATGCATTGAAGGATTAAAACTCAATTTAAAATTTATGTAAATATTTGATGTTTTGTATTCATTCACCAATAGTTAATTCACTGGATGGATTACGTATTATTCCAAGCAAGCATACAATTTGGAGATAGTATTGACGCTGGTTCTTCGTATTGCTATTAAACTTGAATAGTTAGCACGCCTTCTAGAGATGCTCTGAAAATTTTACGCTTTCGTGTGTTAAAAAAAATCTAAGCATACAGAGACTTTCGCCGATCTCTAGCTATGTTATGTATTTTCAGTAACCGGAAAGGTACCGTGGAACAACTTACACGTCCTTGGCAGATTCAGTAACAGTAGATGAAGTTATCGTCCATCAACTCACGGTGCTTAAAATTGAAAGCTTCGAGAATGCTTTGAAGTAGGCCGCTATTGCTTAGAATAAAATCTACAGGCTGTTCATATCAAGTGTTCAAGTCCTTGGCTACAGTGGCCGATTGTGATACCCCGAACAAGATTGACCCATAGATACCAATCGCTTCATGTCCTTAAACCATACCATAATTTGGCGATCTATGACGGCCCGCTCACCGGTACTGCACCTCAATTGCTCAGATCTCTATATTAGATATGTACACCTTTATCGCCAAACTTGGATAAACTTAAACTTCAGAAGAACTATGAGGCTCGTGTAACCTCAATTCGTAAATAGGGAGAGGAACTAGCGTATACTCAGAAGCTTTTGTCTGTGCCTCATCATTAACTGGGAGAGAGACGCTTAGAAGCTAGCCACCTCCACTTCCTCTAGGAAAAACAAAGTAACTCTGTGCTGCTAGCCGGGCCACTGTGAGATCGAAGGCAACGACTTCGCTGATTAGTTGGTGCCTTCTGCCTTCTTAGGGCCGGAATCTTTTGGCGGTCTTAGCTGTTGCGAGAAGGTTCCTTACTGCGGAACCTTTTTGCGGTCTTAGTTGGTCTTTTTCGAGAACCATTATTACTAAGTGAGTACACTCTGCACGCAGCAAGAACTGGGAAGCCGTGGGGCCACAGACAGGCCAAGGTCTTTGGCTAACCTTTCAATGGCTTTCAGCTTTTACGCAATTAAACAGAAATGAAATCAGGCTACTCTCCGGGCCACAACCAACAAGTATTTCATATTACGAGTGGCTGCAGTGGTTGCGCTGGTGACTGCGGTAGCGGTACTCTGCAACAGCGGGCGCAGTAGCTTGTTGTCCAGAGCATTAGGGGGTCCGAAAAGCTTGTGGACCACGCCCTGTGAGGCCTAAAGCCTGAGCAGGTTCTTAGATAACTCCATCCGTTGCAGGAGTTGCACTAGTGACTGCAACAGCGATGCTCTACAACAGGAGCCGTGGTAGCTTGTTTTTCAGAGAAGAAAGAGCCCGAAAAGCTTGTGGTCCACTCTCTGTGATACCTAGGACCTGAGCAGGTTCTTAGGTGACTCCAAATGTTGCAGGAGTTGCGCCTAACCCAAGTAGAGTTCGGATTGAGTCGTCTCTGGCAAACGCAGCACACAACCGTAGTTGTCAACAAAGTGTAGAGCCGCAGCAAGATGGTCAAGTCGCTCACTGGCAGCACCTGAGACAAAGATAAAGAAGCGTTGCTGGAAACATATAAGACAATTGGCCGGCAGGTTCTGACTTGTCCGAACGGCTCACTCCAGACAGCAACAGGTTGCCTTCTGATGTCGGCTGAGCACCATCGGCACAACGAGGCCCAAATGCTTCCCGTAAGAGACCACAACAAAATGCTAAGCAAGCTGTTTCTGGTGTGATGCCACAGACGTAAGCACCCCAACAGACCCTTGCTCGAGGAGTATCCGCCCATGCACGTCAGAGGGCAGCTATTCGTATACACGGACGCAATCCAGTCAATAATCGACTAACCACTGGAATCGCAGCCTATGAATGCTGTGATCGGAGCTAGAGATGGGCGCGGGACCCACAGTACTGATTTAAAATTCCCTTTTCGCTTTTAATGTTTTATTGAGACGAAAACGAATAGCGAAGGAAAACAAAATAATCGGAAGATGCCAGATCTTTTTTTTTTTTGTTTTCATTTTTTTATTATTGAAAATTAATTTGAAAGACATGAACATTTTTGTCAACTTTCGATCGGTTTGCAATCCACGCCATACACGTTGAAATTTCAACCGATCGTTTCAATTTGTTTTCCGTTTGAATCCTGCTTTAGAGATAAATCACGGGACCCGTACTACAATTCTGAATAACGTCGGGATAAGCGGGTTCGGGAC